GAAAATTCAAGAACGGAGATTTCTGAATATTGATTCAGCAGCTCTAGTCCTATTTTTAATTTTTTTGAAATCAACAAAAGACTAGAACATTATCAGACTCGAAACGATATCAAGTAGAACACTTTATTGAAGCTCAAAGCCTGCATTTATACATCAGAGATTGAAATTATACAATCACACAATTACTTCAAAAAATAGTTCTAAGCCGAAGTTCGAGATATGAAATCAATTGTATCCTCTAAGAAGTTTTTCATTAGTCTTTGAAGATTTCTGATTAAATAAAAATTTTGTAACTGATATGAAATTTCCTAATGAGAAAAATGAAATTCTCATCTCTATATGACTTGAAATACATTAAAATTTATGGAACATCAAGGTATCTTTTTTTTTCCTTTCTTTAAGATATTACATATCTTTTATCTTTATGTGAACATGGTGATCTACATTTACGTGGTGCATGTGCAAGTTTACTTGCTACATTAATTCAAACAACAATTCATCTTTTATTAAACAATGTTCACTTGTATCAACTGATTCACAAGACAGTTCAAGGTTATATGTCTTAATGATAATAATGCACGTGTTATACATGTTTCACTAAATGCTTTACGAACATTATTACCTTTTTTTATTAATTAATAGTCATGCATTTACAATCATAGGAATTAAATTATTAGAAGATTCTATTCAACATACTACAAGTTCCTGTACTCTTGCTAAAGTAGATAAAAGAAATTTATGATTATAATAATTTTTTTTTGTATGTATATAAAATAGTTTGCTCTAGCTCAACTTATAGATGATATTGATTTTCGAATATTAACTTATCTTGAACAACAATTAAAACAACAGTACCCTGATATACGTGTTCGTCAAGCAATTGCTTCGACTTTTGCTAAGTATGTATTTTGTAGAGATATTAACTAGGTAGCTTTTTTTCGAATTTGAATGCATAAGTCGATTTTATTGAATTAAGTTAGTTATTAGCTACTTTTTGATTTTTGAGGTTTTATTGATCACAATTCATTTTTACCATGTCAATGGATATATAAAATTCATCATTCATTACATGTTTAAGCATCAACTCGAATACAAATTGTTTGTTATTTTTGTCTTTTATATAGGTTGGATGTTTAGAAGATATTTATGTTCTTTCAAATGTTTTAAGACCAACAACAATTCGACCAATTTTTTCATAATTAATATGATGAACTTCGTTTATTTATAATTTTTTTTTAACATCCCTTTATATTACATGATCTTAATAATTTAATCTTTTCAAGTAAAGAGAAAAAAAAGATATTTATAATGTTTTTTTTTTGAATTCTTTCTTTTTATTTGAAGATTTATCAAATCTCAACAAATGAAAAAATGTTTTGAAAGTAGCATAAATGATTCAAGTAATTCGAAAAATTGAACTATTTTAATATCATCATTCTTTTGGACAGAATATAGTTGATATTTCAGTTTTCACAGAAGAAGAGAGTTCCAAAGTTTTAGATTTGAAGAATATATTTGATCATGTTTCGTCTGAATGAATTCATTTGTTTTTTTCTTTTTAAATAGAATGAAAAAGATTCATCAACAACATCAAATACAGACAAAGATAAAAAAGTTAATCGTACACAATTCGGTACCTTTGGGAAATAATCCATCAATGATGAATATTATTCGAATTAATACGTTCATCTTATCAATTACATAAAAGTTTATTAAATTCATCAGAAATGATCATTATTGTCTATGAAATCAATTTTAAGTCTTATTTCTACACAAGATTTATCAAAAAAAATTTGGAAGAGAAACATTTAATTATTTTAAATCAACATTCAATGTACACAAGAGGTAACTTCTTTTTAATAGTAAATATTTATTGTAAAGAAAATTTCAATTATTCATCTTCTTTGTTTATTGGTTAAGCTAAAACCTTTAGGATGTTGTATTGTGTCTGAAACTTGTCTATGGATAAAACTTTAGATGGAAATATTATAATGAAAGTTTCTGAAAGGGTCTTTCCTAGAGAAGGAAAATTTCAATATAAGAATGTCATAGTAACAGAAAAACTAATTTTACAAATATCGATGATCTTAACGAGAGTAGTTTTGTTGTGAAAGTGTCAGATCTTTTGATTCGGTTCTATCTTGAAATTCGAATATTAAATCATATAGTTTACGTCAGTGATCTGCAAGACACGCTATCAATTCGAAATTTGAAAATCATTTTTTTCTGTTAACACAACATTCATTTAAAAATATTCTTTTAATTTAGTTTTTATTAAATCTTCAAATGTTTCTTCACAAGTATTATTAAATAATTCTTTAACTTGTATTCATACGATAAGTATTCGACAATCGATAATTTATTTTATTTGGTTCATGTTATGCATCAAGTATAAATAGTGTAATACGAGAGTAAAATAAACAAAAAAATGAATTTGATCTATTCTGTTGTTTTTGTTTTCTATTTTAGTTTTTATTGAACTATAAAATTAGTCTTAAAAAATATATTAATAGAAGTGAAAGTGATTTTCAAGCTCCTGTACTCAATTTACTTGTTCAATTACTTTTAATTCGTGTTAATAATAGTTAATTAGAAGCTGATGAAATTCGTTGTATTTCTAATCGTTTCGTTTATTTTTAAATAGCATTTTATTCATTGTATTGCTGAATTTCTTGTTATGTTATCACATGATACACTTCATTCAAAACAAGTTATTAAAATACAAGATTTAATAAAACATTATGATTCATTATTAGCAAGTGGACATGAACCTGAAACACATAGTAGGAAGCAAAAAAAAACATTTTCGAGAAAAAGAAATTATCGTTAAAATTTCTTATTTAGCTTTGGCAGCATTAGAACCAGTTTTATATGATTTTTTTTCTTGTTCGAGTTATGCGAATAATTAAAATTCCTAAAAAGTTTTATTAAATGAGAGTGAAGAAAAGGTGTCCTTCTATAAAGTCTCCAATATCTTAGAAACTCGAGAGGGTGTGAGTGTGGGTGTGTAGATGTAATTTTTCTCCTCGATTGAACCCACACCCACACTTCAACGAATCGATGATCTGAAAATAATCATCTTGTTGTTATGTATCTGAGTTTGAGGGAAAACTAGGCATCTTAATTATTATAAATAAAAGTATCTTTTCGTGTCATGTGTATGTACTGAAAAAATAGTAATAGAATTTATATTGTTATAGGCTTTACGATTGTTCACAATTATTATTAATAGTGTTCAAATTGAAGATGATAAATGGAAACGTCTTTCACGACAAATTGTCGATTTACTTCTTGCTCATTTACAATCTCAGGTTATTTTTCTTTTAATAGTCTCTGATTTTACGTTACTTTTTTTTGTTCAAATAGAATCAACCACTTTTGGATATTTATTCCACACAATTAACACTATTTGATGTTGCTTTTCGAACACTAGTAAATAGAAATATTCGTTGTTTTTATTTATAAAATTTTCCTATAGCTTAAAATTCTTTTTAGAATGTCAATTGTCAATCTACAAATCGATAGTTAATCAATATAAATATAATATTTCGATGTCTTGTACAAAATTTAACTGAAGATGCTATATTAACACGATAGAATGATGTTTTATTATCAGTTCATGGAACACGAGATGTAACTTTTAGTGCGTAAGTATTCGAAATGATTTTATTTATAATTTAACAAGTATTATTCTCGTTTTTGTTTTCAGAGCTCTTCTTCGAATTTTACATGACGTAATATTACGAATTTTAACTAATACTCGGCAATTATGTGGTCAAATCAATATGACATTAGTTTCTCTTGCATCCGATTATCTTTATGTACATATCACCCATTAATTTGAAGATAAAACTTTCCTGCAATTCATTAATTACTAATGACCTAGCGAAAAACATTTGACTTTAAAATTCCTATGCTTATATACGATCTATAATTTTATTTTGGCTAAACCATTTCGAATAATTGTAAATGATTTTCATCAATTATGAATTCATGATGAAACTGTACATCGGCTTGAGACATTTTCATTTTTAGTTATTTTAAGTGAATGTTTTAAATTATTATGATCATCATTTTATATCTCATTATTATTACAATGGATACATATTCTGAATATGCTTGATTATACACGAGAAGCATGCTGGTCACCGACATTAACGCCATCATCAAGAATACATTTATCTATCAGTGGTCAATTACAATCTTATTGTGATTTAATATATCATCATGAATTATATGTTGAACATTTTACATCAATAACAACACATTATCAATTATTATTATTATTTTTTATTTTATCTTATACATCATACATCAGTTGCAAGTCATTTGTTTTTTTTGTGAAAGAATACATTTAGATGAAAGTGGTCTTCTATTAGTTTTATTAGTTGAACAATTCCTTCCATTACTATTAAATAAACAATTATGACCTAAATATATACCATTAATTTTATAAATATTATCAATAACAATATCAATCGATATTATTACAGAAGATTTTAATAATCTTAGTTGTCATATGAATATAACAAGAAAAATTTATGAACAAATGTTTAAAAATATAACATATAAAAACTGATTACCATTTATGATGTCACCTGTATGTTTTAGTTTAATTTATCGAAATAAATACATATATATGTATAATAAAAATTTTAATCCAATGAAAAGAAATGTTTTTTGTTACTTTGACATTGTTTATGTGCTAGTAATAGATGAGACTTTTGAATAATTCAAAACTTCGAAAAATATTTTGAAATAGAAAATATGCAGAATTTCAGGTAATACAAATCGTAAAGGAAAGCATTTAAGCTACATTAGTACAATGACCGAATAATTCCTCTCGAATCTTATTGATCAAATTCTCAGTCGTGCTATTTGTACTATTACAATTAAAGAAAACGACGTCTTTCTAATATTATATTTCGAAATAAATTGCATTCGAGAATTTCGATAAACTTTCTATAAGTTTGAACTCGTGAACTCCGAAAACGTCTTGGATTTTTTCCACAGCATTAAATTTTTAGGATGATTCTTATAGTAAATGAAAATTGATTTGAGAAAATAAGAAACAATATAAATCTGTTCTTTTTTTGTTTTTCTTGGATTTTGTATAGTTATATCAAATGAAACAAATTAAAATGACATTGAAACAACACCTAATACAATTTATGAGAAAAGTCTTTTATCATGCTTCTAATAATCAACCATATTCAATCGTATTCATAGATTCTATATCAATATATTTTGATAAAGTACAAAATCATGTTGAATTAACATGTCAATTTTCAACAGGTGATATACATGATTTATTACGTTTTATAATATTTATATCAGAAATAATTTATATAAATATATTTCAAAAAAAAACATCATTTCTTAGTTGTGAAACAGATCAAATAATATCATGTTGTACATTATCGAAAATACTATTATCAATATTTGAATATATTTATCAACGACATGGTTTAACTCTATCAAATATATTATAATCATATTTAAATTTAATTGAACCAGATAAAAGATCATCTTTATTATTTAACAAAAAAAAATTAAATATATATATATATATCATATATTTATTGACATGATTTATATTGTATAGTTATATTATTATTTTGTTTACCAATATTTATATAAAGACAATTTTGGACTTGGTTGATTATTAAGAATACAATTTCAAGAAGTATAGGCTTCATTTTTAGCTTCAATTAATTCACCACAAATCAATCTAATGATGAAAATAAACAAACAACAAATAATTTATAAAAAAAAAGAAGAAACTTTAGAAACAAATGCAACACAATGGTAACAAGATTGAAAAATAAACTAGATTTTATCTGTTCTTTTTTTATCAATATTAGATACAAGTTTAAATAATTTATTTACAAATATTGAACGATTAGGTACACGTGATTTATTATTCTATGGACAACTTTCATATGATACTATATTAACATCAATCCAAAGTAATAATACATTACCATTATCAGTTAATGTAAGTCTCACATATGTTTTAATAATCGACAAATAGAACTCTAAGTTAAAAGAAAGATAAATTCATTGCTAAATTATTAATTTCATCAAAGAGAAAATCTAGTGTTTCTCTGACTTTGATTTGATATATAATACATGCAAACTA